TGGCCACTGGAAGCCTGGCGGACTTCAACTCCCAGAATTCCCCAGCCAGCTTTGCTGGCTGGGGAATTCTGGGAGTTGAAGTCCTCCAGGCTTCCAGTGGCCCAGGTTGGAGGGACCCCCGAGCTAAGACACAGAACTTCTGCAAAACCCGAGGGTGCCATTTCCTCCCTGGATGGAGACCGTCAATCTCAGCCCTGCGGTTGCTGGGAAGCCGGACTGAGAGGCCTGGAAAGAGCCGCTTTCCGGAAGGAAGCAACCCAGAGGCAGCCCCCCCCCCCCCCCCCCCCCGCCATCCTCCTCCTCCCCCCGGGGGCCGCCCCTGCGAGGAGAGACTCGCCTGCATCCCGGGCGGCCAGCAGGCCCCGCAGCCGCTCCTCGGGGACGCTGCGCAGGAGGGTCGCGCCCCACTTCCCGGCCTCCGGAGCGACGTCGTAGAGGGAAAGCGCCCGGCTCTCGGCCACGGCCAGCAGCTGCAGGCGACCCCCCGCCGCCGCCTCCTCCTCCGCCGCCGCCGCCTCGCATCCGCTGCCCCACACGAAGCTGCAAGAGCCGCGCCGGCCTCGGGTCAGGGCCTCCGCTTCCCCTCCCCGCGGCGTCCCCCCGCCCGACCGGAGCCCCCGCCGGCGACCCCTGGCGGGACCCTTGCCCGCCCTCAGGCCCCGCTTACTCTTCCCAGGCGCCCGGCAGAGAGACGCCCGGCAGCCGCGCCGCCGAGGTCAGCCCGGACAGACGCAGCTCGGACGGCCCGGCCACGGCCAGCGCTCCCCGCCCGCGGCTGAGCTTGGCCCGCAGGGGGCCGGCCGGGGGCTCCGCAGGCGGCGGCGGCGGCGGCAGCAACACCCGCAACGCCTCAGCCATCCCCGCCGTGAGACCCGCGGCGCCCAGCTGAGGGGGACGCGCCAGGCCTGCCGGGCTTTGTAGTCCTCCGTTGGAGTCCCCAACGCGCAGGCGCCGCCCCGCCCACCGACTTCCGCCCGCCGCGAATGGAGGCCCTTCTGCCGCCGGCGGCTGTCTTGCCGAGGAAGGCCGGCGGCGGCGATGCTGGCGCTGGGGCTGCTGTGGCGGGCGCTCGGTAGCGCGGGCTATGCGGACGCGGCGCGCGGGGGCGGGGGCGAGAGCGGGCGGGCCGCCGCCATGGCGCCGGAGCAGGGGCGGGCGCCGGAGGCCTACGGCTACGGTGGGTGCGGGGGGGGGGGGGCGGGTCGGGGGGGGCGGGGGGGCGGAGGAGACCCTCCCCGCTCAGCCCGCGCGCCTCCCTTTGCCCCCCCGCGCAGATCTCATCCGCACCATCCGCGACCCCGAGAAGCCGAACACGCTGGAGGAGCTGGAGGTGGTGAGCGAGAGCGGCGTGGAGGTGGCCGAGATCGGGCCGGGCGAGAGCCTGATCACCATCCGGTTCACGCCCACCGTGCCCCACTGCTCGCTGGCCACGCTCATCGGTAGGACTCCCTCGGGCGCTTGGGGGCCTCCGGCGAGCCGGCTGGGGGATCCAGAGCAGGCCAGACCCCACGGGGGAGCCTCGCCTTTCTGTCCCTGCCTTAAATCCTGGCTTCTCATCCACGTGGGGCTTTTGGGGGGGTGCATCTTTGGGGGACAAGCAAATTGTATTTTGGCTTTCCAAACCAATCATCTTCTTCTTCTTCTGCTTCTGCTTCTCCTCCTCCTTCTCCCCCTCCATTAATAATAATAATAATAATAATCATCATCATCTATGGCAGGGGTCTTCCAACTTGGCAGCTTTAAGACTTGTGGACTTCAACTCCCAGAGTTCCTCCTCCAGTCATGTTAGCTCAGGGATTCTGGGAGTTGAAGTCCACAAGTCTTAAAGCTGCCAAGTTGGTGTATGGGAAGATTTCTTGCTTCAAGAGATCCTAGTTTGAAGCAACAAGTCAGCTTGCAAGCATTGTAGGTCAGGGCTCTTGTGTTTGCAGCACCTCCTTGTGCCCTCGGCTGAAGGGATTTCTAGGAAAACGTTTGCTTCCCCTGTTCATACCAAAGCAGGTGCAAGCCCTTCGCTGAATGTAGCCTAGGTCACAGGTCTCCAACCTTGGCCACTTTACGACTTGTGGACTTCAACTCCCAGAATTCCTCAGCCAGCAAAGCTGGGAGTTGAAGTCCACAAGTCTTAAAGTGGCCAAGGTTGGAGACCCCTGGCGTAGATGACCTCTAGAGGGGCTCCTACCTAAGTGAAAAACATTCCAGTGGGTTGCAAAACAGCTGCTGTTCCATGTTATTTGCTGCCCGAGGAAAAAAATGGACTTTGCACAGTTTTTTATCTTTTTTAAATGAAGGAAACCAGGTCCTCCCAAAATGTTTTTTTTTTTTTAACCAAAAGTTAAACCAGCCTTTTCCCCTGCATGGTCAGTTGCTGTTCCGATAAAAAAGATAACTGAGAGACAGAGGAAGAGTCTTATGTTTGAAAAGCTAACTGAAGTATTTTTTCATGAAAATTTAGGGCTGTGTTTGAGGATCAAACTTCAGCGATGTTTACCTTTCAAGCACAAGGTATGTCGTTTGTGTTTTTCTCTTCATTGAAGTGTGAGGTAGGTTCTCCCGGAAGACCCCTGTTGATGGCACTGCTTGGGCTATATAAGAATAGCAGGGTGGCAGGTGACAGCTTGCATGTCCTCATCCTGCAGGAAAGAGGTTGTCTGA